ATTTGTATTCAGCATTTCGCATGTAACTCACCTTCCTGCTGTTACTTGGTTAATTAAATCAGCAGAAAGGCATTTCTTCCTGAACGACTTGAACTGAGAAAAATTTGCAGAGTGTGAATAACTACGAGCCATGACAATCTGCTTTGCAAGCTCTGGTTAAGTGGGTCATTCTTTTCTCACCTTCCTCTCAAAGAGGAAACACAGTTTATTCTAGAAATTAGTCCAAGAGGGCCCCCTTCTTTAATTTTAGGGGGGGTCCTTTATCAAGAGAGGGGGTCCAAAAGATGGGGGTGGCCAAAAGGTGTTTGAACTTATTTGTATAGTCTGGTCAATAAGGAAACGAAGAAGAGAAAGACAATAGAAACAGCAAGAGGCTACAAAAGTTCGAAGTGAGTTTAACATAGTAACTGTCAGATCAATCTTGTTGCCATAAGACCTGCAGATACTTTAAAATAGTAATAATTAAAAAAACACAAAACACAACAAAACGAAACAGAAACAAACAAAAATAGCATTTAATATGTACTTATCCTTGTGCACAACTTTTTGGGCACAACTTAATTAATTATTTGTTTTAATAATGTGTTGTTTCACCGTGAATTGTCCAGGTGAAGAAGCAAAAGTTTGCCGCAATGAGAAGATGCATTTTCAAAGAGGAGATGACAAGCGATGGTTACTTTCAGTACAAATCAGCCAGGTATCCACAATGGTACATCGGTTTCTCCAAAGGAGGACGCCCTAGGCACGGAAGTAGGAGTGCCAAGCGAGCAATATACCGCCATTTTACAATAAGAAACACACCAGACAGAAGACACACCAGGAGAGTGGCCAGAATTAAAAGAATTATCATCAAGTGGCTCAGAAAGAGGTTAAGGAGGGCTTAATCTTTTAACTCCCAAGGTCTGATAAGCAATTCTTTCTTTTGGCTGCTATACATCTTCTTGTGAAATAGTTCAGAGAATCTGGTATCATGTTACCCTAACACCATCTGGTGGAAACGTTTGTCTATTCTCATCGTCTGTTTGATGGATAATTTATTGATACTTAAAGGAGAAACTATATCTTAACTACTTCTGTGAGCTCTGAGGGTACCAGTAATGCTCAACCTGGAGCAAACAAAGCATGTACATGCTCAAGACATTACCAAAACCGATGGAGAACAACTTCGTTTGGAACGAAGGGAAAATTGAAGTGAATCAATTTCGCGTGTAATCGAGTTCAGCTCTGTAAAGGGTAGTACTTTTGACAGTTTGATAGCGTGACTCATGGTGTAAGATTAATTGTAGGACTCTTTAAAGACGGAGATTCTTGAGCTCTACTTGAAAGACTTATGTAGTTAGTATGACCATAATCATCACGGAAAACGGCTTACACCAGTGTTACTTTAAGTCTTTTATAATCTTAAAAGGAGATAGTGTAGGAATAATGTACATCATTATACCTTTTGAATTATTTTTGAGAATATTCACAGTAATATTTTTGACTGTGGAAAGGCAAAATTAAGGAATACGAGATGAACGTTCTAGACCGATGTTGACCCTGAAACGTGTCCGTTTGGTTGATTGTAATTACCCTTTCATACCTAAGAGGTAATTTATGATATTATGATAACCCAGGAAAGTTCTAGACCGAAGTTCCAATCGAAACATTGAGGTTCGCTCGCGCTAAAACGTATCAGAATACTTTTGAAGAATTTTTTTTGTTTCTTTTCACCCAAACTTGTCAGTTATAATGGAGGAAATCTGACGTTTGAAAAATATTTAATCTCTGTCAAAGTATTTATGTTTTTTTTTCTTTTAAGTGAAATAGCAGTTTAGGTAAAGTTTAAAGATGCGTCAGTTTAATGAGTGATTGCTCCATGTTAATGCTTCTTCGAAGCTGTAGTCAAGATCAACTATCACAAAAACAGAAGAGCTAACTACATTTAAAGGAAAATGTTGGTAATGTATCGATGAAGTTAAATCATGCAAACAAAGGGCTCAATGTTGCTAGTACCATTTATTTTAACGAGGCGGTTAGCCTTCAAGCACCATGCAGTTATATATTAGAAAACTCGCAATTTCGGTGTTGTCAGCGGTATGAGAAAGCAAACGGAAACTCTTATCTGTAATTAGTCCTTGAGTCCATATGGAGTGCTTTTTAGAATCTACCTAGCAAAATGAGACGCAGTATTCGTATGATCAACAAACTGAGGACCCTTACGCCAGAGCGTAAACTTGATAGAAAAGAGTGTTTCAGTCATCGCTTCCCCATTGGGCCATTCCTTAATTCAACGCGCCTACTAAGTCCAAGGCTACAAAATTTAGAGAAGAGTGAAGCTGGTTTTTGATCATAAGAAACTTATGAAGTCGTCCAGATTTACCTGTGCTTCAAATGTAATATGATGCCTATCACTTTTTTGGGTTTCATCCAAATCTCGTAAATCACTGTTCATGTAAGCCGTGTCACGTGACGTCTCGATATGATAATAAAACCAGGCGTACCCATGACACTGCACGTGAAATCTAAGGCCTAAAAGCTGAATTATTGGCGCACCGACTGCTCGTTTCTCTTCAGGTCTTTGAGATTGTGTGGGGAGCCCCAGCGTCTGCAGCCGCTACCCCAGGTTACACTGCACGCATCTCTTTCCGTTGGCGGCCAAGGCAGAGAGCAGAAGCGGTAACCCAATACAGTCCAGTTCCTGTCTTTATTTCATTTCGAAAATACGAAGCTATAAAGATTATCGTGTAAATATAAAGTCATCATTGTAAACATGACACTTCAATATCTCAGTAGTTCGGTGAACTTAAGTGCCTGAGTGCTGTGAAGACGGAATGCGACTAGAACCAATACTGATAGGCTCTCAGTACAAAGGATAACAAGAAAATTCATTAAATCAGTGTGGTAAATATGTTTTAAATCGGTCGTTTCTGTGAAGGAAGTAAATTACCATTACCCTAAACATCTTCTTTAATGCTGATTTTGACCTGTTTAGGTTCTCCTTGATTCCTAACTAGCTACCAGCATGATTGTGATCAAAGCCCATGAAATTACTTTCATAGGAATCTGTTTACTGCTCCTAGGGTGTTTGTACTCTTATAACATTCGGGCTACAACAGAGAAACATACTCTAATTTGGCGTGATCGAGGAAAGTCGAACCAATTACGCTGATAGTCTTGTTCAAAATTTCACTGTTAAACTTTTTCGCTACTGAGAACGTCTACAATATTCAATTATGCCCAGAAAATCTGGCACAGATACTTGAGATCGAAATTGTTATCTTCTGTATCTGACAAAGGTATATCCGGGTCAATGATTTCAATAACCTTGTTTCCGTTGCTTTCATATTCGCCGCCACATCACGTGTTTAAAATCTGGTGAGAGGGAAATATCATAACTCATCGGGTACAATCATGGCCATGTTGTTTGGCTGCTTATCAAGGGGAGAAAAGCAAAGACATTGACTGATTCCGCCTGTTCTCTCCTCAAGTTGAGTTCGATGACGATATCCTGTTCCAGGAGTACCCTGATTATCACTAAGAAAGGCTTTCTTTGCGTTGTGGTACTTGAGTGTGTCACACTGTTTCTGTCCTTTTTCTTGTTTTACAGTTTTGATCAGTTCTTTGATTTAATTGTTTTATTGCGCAACAAGACCGGAAATTATTTCTAGGTATAGTTTGACTACACAACAGGAACAGAGGTTAGATGTCAGGCTTTGTAAGGCCGCAAAATCAAGATCAGGCGTCTCGTTAATTTCATTAGATAATGAATTTCCTATCGCTAAGACTATTTACCGGAGTTTTGCGAGAGAGTGGGAATTTATCAAGGTTAATGTGTGATTGCACATAGTGTCAAAACAAAGCAACGACTGTTACGTTTGGTTTCCGGAGCTGATTTTGTCTTTCCGCCAGCGGATATGCACCCTTAAGATAAATAAATTAGTACTAAAGATTAAAAATTCTTGTGATGCATTTTTAGGGAAGCCATCGAAGTATGTGGAAAATGACACACTTGTCAGAAATGAACACTGACACGTTAGCATGTGGAATGAACATAACTGACTGAGTAGGATCTGCTTAGTGGTTATCAGAATATCTGGAAAAAAGTGAGAAACGGTAAGATTCACGATAACAAAAACGAATCGTTTTGTCGCAGTTTCCCGATCGCGGCTGGTTCTCTGTTCTCTGAATTTAGCCGAGAAAAAAAATCCTGTGAGGCAAAATTAAAACCAATAGGAAAAAAAGAAAAGCGTGAAGCAGTAGCATTTGTAAAAATATTAACAAGTTATTTTTCCAAAAACTAATTTAATGTCATTACCAAAACAGCGAGTCGGATGCTCTTAACAGAAATGACAGAATCTTAGTAAAGTTAGTGAAGATTTTAGATAATAATTAAGTCCAATGTTATCAAACTTCCTCAGGAATTGGAAAGTCTTGGCTAATTTGTCCATCTTGTGGGTAGCGAGCAATAAACTATTTCCTGCTAATTGTTTATTAAACGGAAAATGACTCGCCAATTCTATTATTGTCTATCAGCCTTTTTTCGCGCCGCGTGGGCAATACTAACGGGAAGTATACTTATTGGTCATCGTCTTCAAACAAGACTGAAATGTTGCTGACGTAATCCAAAATTACAATTATGAAATTAAAGAACGTTTCCAATCATTTTGCAAAATAATGTTTTCTCCTAGTTCACGAATTTTGGGCCGATTTTTCTCCTTTGACGCTAGCTCTTTTGATGTGCGAAAAAAATTAGTTCAGTGCTCGACGCAATTGCTTATGACGTTTTAAGGACAGGTGCTTTAGCGAGCAGGCTCACGCCAAGGATGTAAATAGGGCAAGATAGCTTTTTCACGCAGTTTGAATCAGGGATTTCTATTTCTATGCACAAGATGTGAATCTTGCAATTGTTCAGTATCATTGCTATAATAAAAGAAGGGAGACAAATTTGAAAATGATGACAATGTTTTGCTTTTTTTGTTAAAAAATATTGATAATTCTTAGTAATCACAGCTAAACCGGAAAGCGACAGGATCATTAAAAGATTCCTAAACCAACTCCTCGATGAACTCACGGAAAAACGTTTTTGTCGTGTGTGTATCAACACCGAGCGCAAACTGACTGCGCTTTTGTTTGAACATACAAATTACAATGCAAATTCTATCAACTGAAGAATATCAAAATTTCTACAGCTCTATGTAAGTGTAATTAAAACGAGGTACAACGTCATAACGAGAGAAAAATCCGCCGAATGTCAACGTTAATACAAACTTGTCCGGCATATTGTTCCAAGTTTGGTGTTCTGACTCAAGCCAAACGGGAGGAAAACTCAGGGTAATTAGGCAAATCAATCATCATTTTTTGTCCTTCATTCGGCATTGTGTACCATGAACACATGTGTCATAAAATATGGATCGATGAAAAACCGCAAATCACGATAACTTTAAGTAGTATTTCGAACGAAACGAAGAGCTTACGTTCTTGCGTAATGTATACACTTCTATCAGTCCTTACTCAATTTTCTCCTTGTTCTTAAAATTTGACAGTTGTGAGAGAAATTCTAACCACGATTAATCGGTTTATAAGCCACGAATTTGTTTAGTCACAAGTCGTCTCAAAGGCAATCACTTTAGTTTCAAACCAATTTTAAGCGAAAGTTTATAAGACTTGTTTAGCTCTTTGCGACAAAGAAATCACTTGAATAGCGATAACAAACATTTACACTTGGGCAGAGTTATTAATTGAAAGTGAGCTGAAGGACTGACCGCGCGGTGGACAAATCATCAACTTTTGAAATAAAATACTTGACTGCTCATCGTCTCATTAAAGCATTAGAAGGCGGGTTGAGTTTGCGAACCGAAAGCCTTAGCTTCTCAAAAAGAAAATCCATCTTGCTAAAACCAAGGTCATGATCTTTTGTCACATGTATTCAGTCAAGAACATCAGCCGCACTGTGTTATCGGTGCTTACAGGAATCTGTCAGGTTGTAGTTAGATCACGTCTCTTTACAATTTTTAAATGTAAAAGAGACACACTAATTCTCTGGAGTTATATATTGAAAGAAAATATCTAACTGAGAAACTGACCCAAATCACCTCGAAATCCGTCATAACAAGAGGTATCCTTTCATAAGCTTTCACATGCTGCGGGTCCTTTCCAAAGATTCAAATAACTTCCTAAATATTGATATTACTACTCTAAGTTTGCCATCGTAGCCCGTCGATACTGCTTTAAATGTAAATTCTGACCTTGCATATGTAAACTGTGGATTCGAAAAATGCAGAATATCGTTAAAAGAATAATAAAATCCGTCTCTCGGGAGCAAATGTTAGAGACATGTATACTCCCGGGGATACCAACCTTATAAACGGATCTACCAACTGTACAAGAATTTTTTAATTTTTTAGCTAAAAAAAAATTCATGTACATAGTTTTCAGTTATGAAATTAGTGTCTATGTCTTTCTCATTAGGGAAGATTCCACAGATAGGCCCCTAAGCGAGCAACAGGAAAACGCTTTCCTCACGTGAAAACATCAGTTCGGCTTCCAGGGCAATGCCTTACACAACAGAAGCTAAATGGCATTAATTTTTCCCTCGAGAGCTTCGCGTAATTACGCGACGACCACTATAATAATTATTAACAGAGGGCCTCCTTTGAACAAATTTGATATTTACAAGGAAGGTATAAATAAGGCATATGAATTTGATAGACAAATTTCAATTCGAGGGCTCGATACGACCCCGCTTAGCTAAAATTATAAATTATTCTTGGCCTGCACCAATGCGGCACAGTTAGACAGGATCTTTGGGTCTTCTTTGCCAATTCATGTCTTTCCTCTGTCTTTTATAGCAAAAACACATCTCAGAACATCCTTTCAGCGGTAAATAGCAAAAAAGACACGGCAGAAATAAAGAGCAAGCCGCCAAGCAACCCCATCTTCCGAAACAAGATTTACTTGGGGGACCACATGAGCACGGGTGCTCTGCCAAACTGCCTTCATCAAACGAATCCTTCGAACAATGATACAACACCGCTTTGACCCCGCACATACAACTTGCATAGTCTATTAACACGTCCACGTCCCGGTTACAGCAAAAAATTTTGACATCTTCATCTTCATAATGTTTGCTTTGGAGTACATTACTACTTCGACAAGTCGATCGTGATATTTGCGCCGATGCTGCCCGTAATGTGGGTCTCGGCTGTGAAGTTACAACCTGTGTCTGTGTATTTCGTATAGTTCCTCCCGTGTGCCTCCTAACAAATGCATTGAACGTTCGGTTAGTGGCGGGAGTCGATAAACTTAACCGCATGTCACGATCCGCTACTAAGATCGGCTGACGAGGTGTAGTGCTCGTCTCTCGCTTCGTGGCCGCTGCGATAACACAATAGTCAGAGTGATATTCATCTTTACTCACAATCGTCTCAACTTTTCCAACAGTGTTGTGTGGTCGTATCCGATGTTTTGAGTCGTATTCCACACTCCTTTTCTCCCAAACAATGGTCTTTTCCAAAGGGTTCTCGTGTATAGTTATGGCTGTCTCTACCGCCATCAAACATTGATCGCCATTCAAACAGACCTCATGCAAAACGCTGTAGATTAATTTCGCCGGGATCAGGCGTCTTCAGGTTCACCTCGACCCAGCGAGTGAATTCCGAACGCCATCATAAGGCCACAGCAAACGGGAGAACTACAGGCGACCTGAAAAATTAAACCCAAAGTACGTTGACCAAATGAAAACCCTTGGGACCTAAATGAACATGAATAAAGCTTTCATCAATTAACATTACGTTAATCAAAACACGGGTTTATATATAGTATCAGAATGCTAGAGGTTGAAGGGCATACAGCTGGAGTTGTAACAGAAAAGTGATATTCATTTTCCCATACCTACACCGACGTTAGCAGTTATACAGGCACCTAATTTAAAATGCTCACAACAAATCGTTCTCGAATGCCCAGTGTAATCAAACAAAAGTTCCGTGTTGAGAATGCACTGCCAGCGCAGGAAATGGAGGAATGTTTCCGGCAGTAGTCGGGACTCTTACTGATCGCGACATTGGTCAGTAAACTTATCCATTCAGAAAGCAAATAAACCCAACACACGTTACACTCCAGCGCGTTCGGGCGACTAACCAGTGATTGAGAACTCTACACGAAGCAGCGCGCGCGGTTTGCGAGTACTTGATAACTAACTTGAACAACAGCTCACGCGTGGAGCACTCGAATGAGTTCAGTATTCACATCACTGCCTTGAGCTACAAACAGAAAAACGAAAATTTCACCGCCCACGAACTATTGTGATTTGTGACGTCATGCATCCGCCCCTTTTGAATCGATTGCTTAGCAAGACATTTGCTTTTCAATCTATCGTGTGCGCGTGGCAATCAAATAAAAACAGAAGATCTGTCGATAAACTGTGTATCTTTACATTTCTGCAAACTTCCTTCCGACATGGGGAAACAGCGTTAGAAAAATTTTCGCACATCAATGGAAGGCCTGTTTATCTGTTTATTAAAATGCCATATTGCTTGCTGAAGACAGTCTCACTCAATGTGACTTCCGGTTTTATTCTGGTTAGAACAAAGGCAACAGACAAAGGGTTCGTTCGTATGTCTTTTCATTTACATAATGAACCTTCTAAACATTTCATAGAATGTACTCAAAATCCTAGGAGGTTTGTCATTTCTTGCCTTCTGATCGTTGCGTCGCACTTTCCTCCAGAAATCTTGGTTTCTAGCAGTATTCGGTTGGAGCGCTTGTGACCTCGTGTTTTCCTGGTAACTGTCAACTCCTTGAAACAATTCTCTTGCTCTAATTTTCGGCCCAAGATTGACAGCGCGAGTAGTTTGTATATTTGTTCTTGTTTCTTTGCTTTGATAAGCGCGCGTTAGGGAAACTACAGGATTGGATCCAGGCTATAAAGACACTTGATATCGATGTAAGTGATGGCTTAGAGTTTCATGGGGTTCATGTCACCCTTATAAAAGAGACCGAAAATTGGGTCAACCACTATGCCATCAAACCCATCACTTCCGATACCAGTTTCCGATCTAGTGTGATGCGATTTAAGATGACAAACAAATCTGCCCAGAAACCAGCAAGTACTCGGGAATGGTGGCTTAGAAAGAAATAGAAAAATCAAACACGTCAACTCTCGATCAATTTAATTATCTGCCGAAACGCTTTTAGCGTATGCAGATGGAAAGAGACCGCCATTTCGAGTCCGGTAACCCAACACTTGAAAGTGGCGTATTGGCCTGGAGGGGTGTTTGAATATTGGATGCCGTTATAAATCTGCTCTAAGGCCAGCGATTGCGGTAGCGTTGAAATCTTAAATATGTGGCAGTTTTTGATCCGAAGTCTTGAAAATGAATCTTCTGTTTAAAAGTGTCCAGTTATTTACCGACGTTTTCAAACAACTAAACCAAAATGATATTGCTCGACTTCATGAGAAAAAAAGAACAATATACACAATTGCTTCTCCATAAACAATATAGTTTCCGGTCGTCAGTTATCTTGCTTTTTTCCAGTAGGTTCGCTAAAATATTTGATTTCTAACACCTAAGTCGCCGATGCTATTTCCTAACAGCGATAGAAGATTTCTTTAATACATTTAAAATTGCGAAGGTCCATCTCTATTATGCCTTTCGAAAAAGCCAAGCAAAGAATCAAACGCATCTTTCTTCTTGTTTTTTGCACTTCAAAAGGTACCGAAAGTGCCAAGATGTAATTATGGCTCAAGAAGAGTGTTAACGTCTTTGTTAGGGGTTTCCTGCTTTGTCCATAGCCCTATTTTCCATCAAAACAAACACCTGCTAGGGGCTTCGTGACGTTGAATTAACGCCAGCAATCCCTCTGCTAATTTTCTGCGTCTCAGAGGAACTCGACAGCGCAGGAATGCCTATTTGTGTACACAACCAAATTAAATGCACCCCACCAAATGCGACAGAACTTGATTCAGCAAACATAGGGGGCTTTTATGAATCAACTGGGATGACAGTTTGGATAAGTAGTAATTTTAGAGCCGCGGGGAGCGCAAAAGAATAATTGTTTGTGCGTGATACAACCGCAACCGGCGGTCAAGGACATGCAAATTTCATTTGCGCTATTTTGGGAACGGTGCACACACAGGGTACCCAAGTATGGAATAACCAGTCTAAAAGGAAAATGCTAACGTCTTTATGAAAAAAATACTTTACATTTTTTTTTTTAACAATTTTTTTCTTGTTATATATGAATATCCCTTTGTGTTGACAATAGTATCACAATGATTATATTTAGTTTTAGGCCGCTGATATCAGAGAAGTTGGGTCGTGCCGGACGAAATATAAAAAGAAAAGTATATATGTAATATATATGCATTTTGTTTTAATCATTGATTTTTTTATCAAGCTGGGTGTTCGTTTGAAAGACTTCTGTTGAAGGTATTCTTTCTCGCCTCACTTTTCTTTTTGTGATATTGGTACTCGCCCTGATACTGTGAAATCTTTGCTGACTCCCCCCCCCCCCCCTTGTGCTTTAGGGATAAATTATTATTTTGATTTCTCAGATGACAGCTTGAAGTACATTGTCGTGGTAGAGTTGTTCATTCGGGGAAACTTATTGGTGAAAGGTCATTCTTGTCTTACTGCGCGAAACATCTATTACGGGTGTGTACGTGCCATATATCGATACAACTTGTTGATAGAAAAATAAATTGGATTATCAAAAAAAGGAAAAAAATTCCTCAACAAAGCACACCTTGAGTGTGTGATGGGGGTTCGAAGTCAAGTTGTCTATGAGGGCAAGGGAATAAAGGGGGTAACTTTATAAAAAGAAACTGTGGTGCTGCGTCGGTGGGAGAGTATAACAAGGTAATATGGTCTTACCAACTGAGTTGCTAACGTGAATTAGCCACCGTAAAGAGTTTAAAAGCCCACGTTTTGAGCAACGGCGAATGACGAAGGGCTAACGCTCGAAACGTCAGCTTTGTAACCCTTAATGGAGAGCAATTTACGCTATCAACTCAGTTGATGCTAAATTACCCTGAAGGCAACAGATTGGTGGGAAAACTGAAGGGATCGTTAGGAAAATTACTCAGCCACTTATTTTTTCCCATGAACAAATCATGTTGTCTATTCACAAACATCTACCAGACCGTATAAAATTGCTTGAGAAAAGCTATTTTTAAGTCCATCGTCTTGAGATGGGCTTTAATATACAGGCCTTGTCTGAGAAGAAAAGATTTAAGAAAGGCAAATTGGATTGAAGTGAAAGAGGGTCAAGGGTGACTTCCTCAGGATGTAATGAGGGTGCCAAAACAAGCTAGCAGAACGAAGTCATTAAACTGGAAAGGAAGGCAATAGACAAGTAGGAAAAAAGGCTTATGGGGCGACAGTTGGACTTTTTTGTTAAGTATTTGGAAATAAACGTCCTCATAAAGGTTGATTGTTCAGTTCATGATTAATTTAATTGATGAATCAATTATTCATTCCAGACTGGCGCACCCGAGCGAGGGAAAAAAATGGAAGCAAGAGAAAAAAAAAAAAATCTGGGACAGGATACTTTCTCTAATTAGTTGGTGTTAAGGCTTTATTTTATCACATTGCCCATTCGCGTACCACAGTTTTCGATCTTTCCGGATTTTAGAATTCTTGTAGAGATCAAAGTATATAGAATTTCTCATGGCATGAAACATAATAACGCCACTAATATCATCATACGTGCCTTTCAACGAAAGTCCTTTGCTATTCTGTTTTCCTTTCAATGATTTGGTTTCTCTTAGCTTTAAAAACGTCTTCACGATAGCTGGTAAAGATGAAAGTCTTAATACTGAACTGAATAAACCCTTACTGAATCATGAGAAGGAATTTTGTCTCGGAGAGTAATCTCATACAACAGTTCTGCTCTGTTTAATAATATCAACAATTTCAAAATCTTCAAGATCTTGAAATCAGTTCCGGTAATTTTGAAAGTATTCCGCGATATCAGATTGTCTCTAAAATTTTGTTATAAAGAGAATTAGACGATAACAAACTAGGGGTTTTATCGCGGTTAGGAACATCTGTAGAGCTACAGATTCTCTCCGGAAAGGATAGTGCCATGTTAATAATGCAATCACTAGTTTTGGTAATGACTGCCCCCTATTTCGTGTTCTTTTTATTTATCGTGTTTCCGAAAAAGAAACACTTGGTTTAAACGAAAAATGGAATAATGATAATTACAATAATTGATTATAGTAGCAATATTATTATTATTATTATTATTATTATCAAGGTGATAATAGTAATAAGAATAATGACAATGATGATGATGATAAGACGTTTTTCTAAATCTATGTCGTAAGTCTGTCTTTGTTTTAAAAGGGCTCTCCAATAGAATAGCTTCGCTTTGCTATCTCGCGCAAGGACCGAACCTAGACGACGTCATGAAAAGGGTTGGACTATAGAAACAAAAATTACAGCAAACACTCGAACAAAATGTTGATTTGAGTTCACTGATTTCTAAACGTGATGATAAGGAAAAAGACACGTAATGACTCGACCACAATGACCACCTGGGAGATGATCGTTTAACGATTGTCGGGGCTTAAAGTATCTTTACCTCCTATTTTTAAGACATATTATTCTGATGATTTTGTTCGGTCGGATTCCCGGATGAGAGGCTCGGGCATAGCTTTGGTTGTCTTAAAGCTAACCTAGAAGAGTTAGCTCTATGGATAGACTACAGCTTCCTGTCAGGGAACTGTGTGCTGTGAGATAATCTTCTGCTTTGCTGTTAGCACCCTCTCAAGGCAAAAAATGGCTATTGCTTTTTTTTTCTCTGACATTCCATCTTTGCAAATTTGGTGTTAGAAATTTTAGACATTCTCTCAGAAAAACTTCAACTGTCTGCTTGCTAGTGGATTTCATGAGCCGAAAGTTAAGTTGAGCACACACAATAGATAGGGATACCTAATAACCGTAAGTTCTGGCCGCTGAGAATGTGAAAAGTTAATTTAGTTTTCAAATAGAATGATATTAACAGGTTTGACCACAAAGACTGCTCACTGCCAACCTCCTCTGAGAACAGTTTTACCCCTGGTCACCCGAAACATACTAGGAAATGTATTACGGAGCTTATCACTTCTATGCTGTCAGCACAACGATATATAAACTCGGTGAAAATAGGATCAAAGTTAAAATAGCAACTCGACACAATAGAGACCTAAGAAGTAAAACATGACTCGTGGACTGGGTAATGGTTTAGACTAGACCTGCCAGATTAATCAGATTAGGAAGGGAAAGTCAGGAACCCATCTTTTTCTGACTGATTGAAATTTTACTTCAAAATATGGAAATATCAGCTCCATTTATTTTCTGATTTCCTTACACTTTCGTAATAGTTTTATCAGGAAAATTTACTCCGCAAACACGTTTTCCACGTGGAAATTACAGTTACAGTTCGTAATCAAAGTATTAACATTTGACTCAAAGAGAACCTAATGGGAAAGTAAACCATTGTCGCTAATCCTGTTAAAGTGTGAAGTCCAGCCTGCATTGCATTTCGAAAAATAAAACAAAAATGAAGTTGTCCTGCGTGATAGCAAAGATAGGAAGACCCTAAAGGGGTGCTAAAGCATTCCATGTGTGAGATGGCGATTAAGTGCTTCTTTCCGAAGACTTGAGCAATAGATGAACCTAAAAGATTCTTCCATTCCGTTTACGAGGCTGCTTTGCTAAATACTTCTGAGAATTTCTCGGATTTGACAGAAACTTTATCAGTTGAGAATGTTAGGAACCGCTGCGATACAGCGCTTTGAAATTCTTTAACTGAGGAAAAGAAAGAACAAATTTTCTTACTTTCGAATAAGTGTGAAAGAGCTTTAAGACAACACGATTCCAAATAATCAATTCAACCCGTTCGTAACACTGCAAGGACCTGCTGAAAAGTTTCAACTTTTTATCGGCATAAGCAATCGTAAAAATAATTGGTTCTCGCATTGGAATCACATCAGAGTTGACCCCCTTTCCTTACATGGATTTGTCTTGTTTTGGGCACTCTCATTCTTGCGAAACTGAAAAAAGAAACCGATCAGCTGTTTTAGTTCGTCGACGACTTCTGATCTTTCACTGATGGACAGGTTTTATCGAATTATATCTGGAATTTTCCTTTGCACAAGGATCGTATCCATCAGTAGTTTCAAGAATGTTTTAATTTTCGTAACTGGGGTAGACCCTTGTTGGCCTGGTTGAAAAATCATTTTGGTTTCTCTCGCCCGATCAAAGACCTACATTCTCCGTAGCGTTTTTCCTCCTGAATACGTTGTAGTAACAGCACTGACCTATCAATGGCCATCAGGATCCACACAATTTGTCGTAGACTACTCGATAACAGGGTGTACTTACAGGTGTAATTTGATGTCCTAGCCATATTTTGTGTTGAGTTATGTTAGTTACAATTTAGATTAGACGTTTCAGCGTATTTCCGTCAGACGGAAGATGATAAGATTGTTGAACTTCACCTAGATGCTTTAAATTGAAAGAACAATGGCCCATACAAACCTTATCCTATCAAGACATGAAGATATAGGGTGGCACAAAGGCTTTCATCTAGAAAAGTCGCCCTGTTACTGGAACAGCTTCGGCTTAGAATACGACTGAACCCCAATAAGCGTAACCGAGAAAGTCAAAGCTTATGAACTCGATGGCGCTCTCTTTGCGCCATCAATAGCATAATTATTTTCCTCCAATATAGCGGATTACTAAATTATTCAAAAGGCTTATGATTTAATAATTGTTTTTCAGATGTGGAACATATTTTTCAAAAGGGTTTTAAATTATAGATATATTTAGGGGTGCAGAGCGATCCTTGAGTGCCGACCGAATGGCGTGTGTGTTCAATGTAACGTGGTCCGTCCTGTCGCAGTCATTTTCCATACAAAGTAAAATTAGCGAACGCAAGATCACCTTCGTTAAACAGCGGTTTATGTTGGAATGCCGTTCGTTCTATCGTGGCTCCCGTATATGTTAATTCTCGAGACTAATCGTGTCCGTTATGGCGCCAAAAAACCTCGACCGATAATCAGTGGAGGGTCTTAAATTCACCTAAATCCGACAACAAAGAATGTTACATGTCGACCCAAGGGCAAAATGATGAGTCAAAGCAGAGTTTCTTTGTGATACATACCAAATATCTTGATTCTTTCCTTTGTTTTTTAAGGAATAAAGTATCACTGCTCTTACTTTTGACACCCATGTTGTTTCATTCGCTAATACTCGCTGACACACCTTAGCTATCAAGGGGGTTAATTCTATATGCATAGCAATTTTGCATTCATGTTCCGCCGTCTAGATGCTACAATCAATTCGTTCACCAAATTTGGTAAATTACCATGCTTTACACATGTGAGATACGTACGAGGTTCTATATTTCTGAGTGCTGCTGGCCGAACTAACAAACTTGTTTCAGGCTTGATACAAGGTGATTATGGATTATGCGTCGAAGAGTTCCCCGACTCGACTGGAAATTACAAAAACCGCCCGAGTTTCTTTCAATTAAGTCACGACTTTGGAGAGATCTTTGCAAAGTTGCTTCCATTAAGCTCTAACCATTTAGCGCATAGATTTTACTCCTATGAAGAGACTAATTTTCGGTTGAAGCTAACGGGATTAATCCACCCACCTTGATCTGTTTTCCTGGGAATGACAAAGCGACTCAAATAAAAATATATTTCAGTCGGCTTTGATATCTTTTTATACAGTTTGACTCCTTCGCTCCTTCGTCTCGTTTAACCCAACAGTGCTCACACAATACTTGATCGACTCAGTGGTTGCCTAATTATGACATTAGCATCAGGAGGCCTTTGTTTCAGTGCGTAAGGACCTTCGTTACAAAGAGCTCCACTCGACCGGAAGTTCTTCAAACAAAGGTAAGTCGTAACCGAGAGGCGGTGGATTTTTTCAGCATATCAATCACGCAATTACCTGCGAGCGAAGTTCAGCCAAGATGAAGCTTCACCACAGCCTAAAAATACCAAAAATAATGACTTTTCTCATGTGTATCTGGTGACGAAAAACATTACTACAGAAAAAACTAACCTCTGTGTGCCTTAAGTAAATGAACTATCATTAAACTGCTAACAGATAAACAACTAAGCTTTCAGAAGTTTTGAAAGTAATCAAGTTTGGTATCAAAAAAACTTTTTTCCGATGCGAAAGAAAAAAAATTCTCTATGAAAATGCATTTTTAATGCGTAACAGACTTCGTGGTGTTAAACAGAACTCAAAGTTATCGCAGTTAAATCTTTATGGGAAAAATTTTGTAACTCAATTTAAAAAAATTCGGGCATTGTCTTCACGAGACTTTCAAGTGAATGAATTCAAAGCATTTCCTGTGAGATGACGAGTATTAGTGCAAATTATATTTGTAATCATAGAACCAAAAAACCATTTGGCTTTTTGTCAAAAGCCAAGCAGTGCAACTTTACCTTCAATAAAGTTCAGATATGATCTGTTCTCGTTCTTTGAAATCCAGTCTCTTAGATCACCAAGTTTACAACAGAACTGTGGACCAGACCTTCCAAATGCAAGACCCTCGCGTTTATCAATGTCATGAAAACAAAATAAACCGTCAAGTTTCCTGTTTTTCCAGCTTTTTTTGTTGCAATTTCCTGTTTACCTAACTGGTAGGGACTATACTTGTCAGACTAAACGACTGAAATAGATCGATCAAAATGATTTGGAAATAGACTTTAAACTCTTGAAATCTGTTAGAAGTACAGAATGAATCTTAAACTCACTTTGGAAAAGTCAAATCGTTTTATTTCTTCAGATTGTTTGCATTTAGCATCTAGTGCTATTTATAACCATATATATATATAAAAAACTCATGTGATAGTAATATAACAGCTTTGTTCGCTATACAAGGGTTTTGCCAATTGCATTAGCTAACTATGCAGCCGAAAGATAACCATTTTGAACTCATTCACACAGAAAACCCTCAAATCACAATCAAACCCCTCGGGTATTATTTCACTCCAAGCACTCTTAATTAAGTTGAGGGGCAGGGGGAGGGGAACTTCGCACTCTCAATATCTGCTCTTCAAAAAGGTTGGGCAAGCGTACTTGTGCTTATCTTTTGAAAAAAATTCCTAATTAACTTTAAGGCTTGCATACCTGCCATTGATCACAATTTGAACGAGTTTTCAAAGCCATTTCCAGCATTTGAACCTCCAAAACAGGTCAACGAAAGACTAAGAATTAAAAATTTTGAATAAATCATGCACATTCTCTAAACTACCCTCTTCATATTCCCTATGGTGTTGACGTGGAAGCTTTGTTTAACAAACAATAGCTATTTTAGTTTGTGATCATTTCTTGTAATCTCGTGACCTTAATCTTTGATTTAGTAGTGATACCGCGAGGAGAAATAAGATACAAATCATGCCAAGAGGTAAAGGGTTAGTTGTCCCACGACGTTTGCTCAGCATCCAGGCCTTTATTTGCATTTGATGACAAATAACTGCACTGTAATAGCATGCCACAAAAAATGCCGATTTGGTTCTTAATTTCAGACATGAAAAAATCAAAATAAAGAAATCTTCGGAGGAGACCCAGCTATAGCTGGTAGCCGGATTCAATGAGCCAAGTTTGAAAGAAAGGCATGGAGTGTTTAACCTTGTTCTATTATTGTGTTGGGGACATGCGCTGTTCAAGTTGGAGCCGTCTGTGGTCAATCAGTGGCTTAAGAGATGTTGGCTGGTACCTTACGATAAACTGAGTTCAGGAGATCATCAGTTAATGTGTTAATATATTGGAATTTATCTGGTTCCAAAGAGTTCTGTCTCTCCCAATCGTCAAAATTCTCTAAGTATAGTGAACATCACCTGACCAATCACAGCACGCCATCGGCTCTTTTCTCTTAACTTATAGTTCAATGTTTTATGCTAACGATTTTTAACTATTTTTCAACACAACAAAGATCAAATTTACTGTGATCTCAGAACGTAACAGCCCGGCAAACAACTTTCCTTACACTATATCGAGAGTAAAATGACTCGGATTGACGCAAAATACTTTTCAAACAAATTAAATTATCAAACTAATGGTCTTACCTTTTGTTAAGAAAGAGCGTAAACGAATAAACTGCATTTTACCAGAAACAAAGTATCGCAGTTTTCTTGGCGCAGGACCAACTTTTAAACATTCTCTACAGTTCGCCAGTGTCATTCTTCTATTAAACCGGTTTCCGAGCACAAATGTCACAAGCATTTTCCTCGAAGTTTACCTTTCGTGTCACAGAATTCAGAATGATGCTATAAAGAGTTGTCGTTCCTCCCACATTAAAACCCAAATGAAGAATTTCGTGTAAAGGATCATGAACTTCAAGTCGCAGGTTCAGTTTATTTTGAGTCGGCGACTAAAGTACAACTTTTATCCACGTGCGTGAATGGCGTGATGTGACGTCAGTCTAATTGGATCAGCACAGAGATGGGAGCTTTTAATGAGTGGAAGGAAAATTTTTGTACATCGTAAGTGAACTTTTTATGAAATAATTTTGTAATTGTACTCAACAATTAAAGTGTATTCTGAATACTGCATAAGACTAAGTGGCCGGAAAACGTGATAGTTTGGGTAAGTTTAATTTGAACTTTTAGGCATACTTGAGCTCTCAGGTCTCGATCGAAAGACTAAAGTTACCAAGCAACTGAGAGGCGTGGCAAAGAGCAGTGTTTTCCTGGAGTAGTTTCTTGTTTCTTCAGCCAAACAGCAACATAATGCTGCATGCACATATCAACCATTTCACGCCGGTCGTAATGAGAGGGATAATACAATGCAGTTGTTCTGCGAATCAGTGTTCAGTTAATAACTATCACACCACCAATTGGGTTTTGCTTGGAAAGAGACTTGCGCCACGGATGGTGGTAATGGTTTCATAAGCAACTGAGAGACCGATCATCGCTGATGATATCGCAAGAACTGCCTTTTATAAAGGTTTGGTCATAATTACTACAAATTGAGCGCACTGTACGAGTGACAATTTAGGTATTGGAATGAATCACGCCCGCATGTCCACATTCATAACCCATTTGATATCTTTGCCCACGCGCGTTTGTTCAAAACTCTTCACTTTATCGAATATACTCCATCTTATCTGAGGAACATTTAGTAATGTTCCCCAATTTTCACTGTTACCTCATGAAAGTCTTATGCCGCATTCACACCAAAGCTTAAACATGTTTAAAAGTTGTTTTGTTAAACACAGTTTAATTTTTTTTTTCTTTTTAGAAACTATTTAACCGAATATTTTTGACTTGAATGTAGCACATTGGAAATGCAAGTTAGCAAGTACTTGAATCCAATGGAAAATCAAGTTTTTCAGTGCTCTGTTTATAATTTTCATTCAATGAAAACCAGTTTAACAAAACATGTTTTGCTGGTGTGAATGGGGTATTAGTTTATATCATGATACAAGATGACGGAGCGTTTTTGTTCCTGTCAAGCAACAGAAGAAGAGACTTACTTATTTGTTCATAATTTGCCGTACTACAGAAATGAAAATCGCACACACACTTAACGTTTTGGACAATAAGCTGCTTTTACACGACTTTCACTCGCGCTGCAAAACTGTTTGACGGATACTGACACAATAGCCTTCATTTGGAACAAAGACATCTTCCTGTATTTTTCCTTAGACATTATCTGTCACTCGAAATTCAAACAATTTCCCGAACTTTGCCCTTGCATAACTGTTCCCTTCTCGGACAAATATCCAACCAAATTTTCACTTTAAATGGAGGTTATTGTTTAGGTCATCAAGCTCTACCCTGATTAATGCTATAAAAAATGACGATCAAAACATTGAAAACACAAAATCTTCCTTTTAATAATAAAACTTTCTATTTAATAATTCGCTATGAGTTATCTATCTCTGGCTTCCTTTAATTTTGAGTTGTGTTCAAATGTGAGACATAAAATCAACACCAAATTTTAATGTTTGCTTAGATGGTGCAAAAGAAACCTGTGTGTCATGTATCCAGCTTTACACTACTTTGCCTAGTGCAGGCTTCATGTCTGTAAAGTTAACCAACATAGCATAAAAAACCTCTATTGAGTCGGCTTTCCCGAGTTAAAAGAAAACCCGTTTTATAATTTGCGTTTGTGTTGTTTAGGAACCTCATTCATTAGCGTAGTTTTCTGAATTCTCATGATATTTTCATGTAGTGTATACTGCAATTTGAATACATCTCTGTGGCTATTCTTTGAGTCATTAGTCATTCGTAGTAAAAATCCTGACTCCCTTCCATAACACCCATGAGCCATTGATCAGGATCAGGTGGCTAAATAACCGTATTATGTGCGTGGCTTAAACTCATGCGTGATCTTTGGCTCCACCATAGACTGATGTAACACGCGTTACGTATAAATGCTCTTGATTACACATCACTTTGTATTGGTAAGCGAGACGCAACGACGCTTGTTTGTTTTTTGTCCTCGTCGGCATCTCCGGCTCGTTCCTGTACCGCAAATTTTTTGTCCAGCTGTTCGACGCTATTCATTTTTCTAGTGTCCATGCTTTCTGAATCTCTTCTTAGAGCCGTAGGTGTATTTTGTCTGGATTCCCATACATCACTGGGATTGTCAACGAATACATTGTCAGTATCCCTGTCATCATTATCCGTGTAATGATCAGTTCCTAACGAATTTCGTGGAGTTGAATTTGGTTCTGATGACGTGGGAGTTTGAGGTTCCAAAGGACTCATTAAAACTGCATCTAAGTCAAGATATTCCTGGAAAGTATTTAAAAAAGAATGGGTTAATTTCATCTAATTAAACAATTTCGAGTTACTTATGTACCCCTTCCTATTACACTAGGGAATTCCCTTTGCCTTAGCTAGAGATGGTGCAGACGACGTTAATAAGTATTATCAAATTCTAGAAAGCAACAGAATAAAAGAGGAATGAACAAGGAGTAAGGAGAATTGCTGTCCACAATTCAAAGCTTTTCATTAAACCCTTTACACCCTAACATCAGTATACATATTCTCCATACTGTTTTCTAAACATTTCCTAAGGTGTTGACAAGGAGAATTTGTCTAATAATCAAGAGCTTCTTAAGTTGGCGATCACTTCCTTTATTCTCGTGACCTTAATGTTTGATTCAGGAATGATATGGTGAGGAGAAATTAAATGCCAGTCACTCGTAGGGTTAAAAGGTTAAACAACTTTGTTATGAACGTGCACCCTTTCTTCTTGATATAGGTTATTCCCTCAACTCAGTAAAAGGAAATTAAAGATAGTGCAGATGATGTTTGTAATTAATAACAAATTTTGACAAGCAATAGAATAGAGAGAGTGTGAAAAAAAAAACAAAGAGAAACACTGCCCATCAAGTGATGATCAAGAAAAACGACACTAACCTTGTCCGACAGGGACACCAACATAGCGTCAAACTCTTGGACTAATTCTTGAAAGGTTGGTCTGTGCAGCGGCAAATCTTTCCAACATTTAAACATAATTTCATATCTAAGGGAAACGGAGAGACCAAAGGCATGTTATATCTCATAAAGATCGGGCTGTTACGTGCGGAATAGTACTCAAGTCATTCTAGAAAAAG